CCCCGGTCTGTGCCCTCTCAGCCGTCCCAGGTCGGCCTCGGGAGCCTTTTCCTCCTCCCTGGGGAACGTGCCTGGCCCTGAGCCAGCACAGGCCGGGGAAGCGTCTGGGACCCAATCCACACCGCAGACCTAGCTGGGGTCACACTGCCCTGTGGCCTGCTCGCAGCATCTCCAGCGCCGCCTCCCCACCCCACCTACACTCTGCTCTTTTTGTTGCTAGGGAACTGGCTTGCGGTGGCTCCCATTGAAACATGTGCTTTCCCCAAAGCCCAGACTAGGACTCACTGCCCCTTTCTTTTCCTCCCCAGGCCCTAGAGGGCACCCACGTAGGGTTTCTGGCTCCCGCAGTCACCTCTCTTGGGTGGAGGTCAGTATCCCTCTATCTCCTGCCCGGGCTTTGATGGCTGCCCAGCTTGCTGCCTTGTACTAAGGATGTTAAATTGCAGTTAATTGACTAGTTGATGGAATCAGGGGGTTTCCACGGACTAGTGGATAGGCACTTCTGCATTCCTCCTTTGAAATGTACAGGAGCCCAGGAACTCCCGAGCAGCTGGGGGCCAGAGGGAAGTTCCCAGGGCTGTTGTTACACTTCAAAGATGAAAGCGCCGTGGGGAGCATGGGGCCAGCGGGGGACTCAAACAGTCCGGCACTGGCGCTTTGAAATGCTGTGCAGAATCCAGCATCAGGCTCTGACACATTTCAAAGCAGCAGCACCACATGGAGCCCGGGGTCAGCAGGAGAATCCCCAGCTGACCCCGGACTCCACACTGCACTGTAGCTTTGAGGCAGCCCTTCTTCACTCCTTCCCTCCCCCCGCTGCCTCTTCCTGATAGAGGCAGCAAGCTGGGGGGAGCAACTAGTCGACTAGCATATCAACTATCCGATAAGCATTTAAGTATTTGTAAATACATAATTTCAATTCCACCCTAACTATAACAAGTTCTCAGTCTTTGGGATCTTTCCATTCACAGGACATGGGCACTCCTGATTCTTTGGGCATGACACCTTTAGGAAGAAAAACTGCAGAGACTGGAATCAACTTTACAAGTACTACGCGTTTCTCAAGAGGTTTGACGTTCATCAGAACACACACTCTGTTTGGTCAGAGCCCAGCTAGGAGAATAATTCCACAAACATCTTTGCTGCAGGTGGGTATTTAGTAGATGAATATAACTAAGAAAATGTATCTATTCATATCTTAAATCAGCTGTCACATCTTGTTTGATTACTTTATCGAACCATTCTATTGTTGGATATGTATGCTGAGTCATTGATGTCATTTGTATTTCTCAGAGTATCTTCTATTTTGATATAATGGCTTTTCTGCTATGTTGCAATTACTTGGCTATTCATTGTAGAGCAGTGTGCTAATTGTTGTGGGAGTTACTAGTTTCAACCAGACCAGAAGGGTAGACCTAGATGTAATGCAATGAAATGATTTTTTTTTTTTTTAACCCATGCTTTCTGGAATTCATCCTCTTTGTGGAAAGATTTTTACTATACAGGCAGTCCCCGGGTTACGTACAAGATAGGGATTGTAGGTTTGTTCTTAAGTTGAATCTGTATGTAAGTCGGAACTGGCGTCCAGATTCAGCCGCTGCTGAAACTGATCAGTTTCAACAGCGGCT